AATTTACTTAGAATCGGGAGGGGGGAGGAGGCAGGGGGTGGGATTCCGTAGCAGAAACTAGAGTGAGGGGGGGGGGATGATAATGGCAGCTCGTCTCATCGACCTCGCCCACCTAACCCCATAACATTTTCTTCTTTAAAACTTCCCCCTACGTTTCGTGCTTGTCATTCGCACGACCTGTGACCTCTGACCCCACCTCGTCCCTTCACCCTTGGAAGCTGCCACTGCTACGCGATCGTCACTCGAATTGAGTTTCTCAAATAATTCCTAAGCCTGGACCAGTACTTACCTGACTGGGTTTGCACCGGAAGGCAGGCTGGTACCGTCGTCGCATCCTTCGCGGACAGCATACACAGAGGATCCTGACGAAGGCTCTGTAAGAAGAAAAATTTTGGAAAATTATGTAAAGTTCATATATTTTTTTTTTACTTGTTACTAAAAAAATTTTTTTCGTATATTAAAGTTAAGTAAAATATTTTCTATCCGTTACTGAGTGCAGCTTTAGTATCGCATGACTCGTAGCCTTTTTCAAGTTTGCCGCACTGGGCTGATATTTGCATAGGTGTTATCACGTTAAATGTCACATGCGAGATCCTCTCGGGATTATTATTATTATTCAGGGTATTACGATCGGCGTAAACTCTGACTTAACCGTCTTCTCGAGAGTTCATTCAGACACTACTGTTAAGTTGGAGTCAGCTCGAGTTTGTTCATGATCAAATTACCGTGTATCCTCTTGAGGACAATATTGGCTGAGACAGATAAGGATGCTGATAATATTTTTTAGAGACACGCTTCGCGACCTGATCTCGTTAAGGTTAAACATGGCGGATCTGTATTTGAACTTAAATAGCGTGCACCACTGATATGGACTGATGAGAGTCTCATCGATGTGTTTGTAGATAGGAAAAACCTTCATGATCTTCATGATTCTTGACACGAGTGTCGGTTACGAGTTTTCACGAAAGCGTCAAAGTTCGCGTGTCCGCAGTCGCCTGCATTCACCCTGAACTACCGTAGCAGGTGCCCGGACTTCGGATTTTTGAGCTTGCTCGATGGCCAAGACCTTGAGAATCGACCTGGTCCTTCTTGTACTTGCTTCCGTTTCCAGGATGGGTGCTGCTATCGTGACGCCAATGCTGGCACCCATCTTCGAACGGATCGGCGATCGAGATCTGATCAACAGAGACGTCCTGGAAGTTCAGCTGGACATTTCAAAGTTCTCCAAAGTGACTCCGTGTCTTCGTGAGCTGTATCCGTTCATGTCACGTCGCGAGAACGTGTCCGTCTTCCTGTCGAACGTGCTCGGGGACCGGCACTACTTCCGGCTGTTTCTGACCAGCCTCCAACCGGACGTCGCCTTCTTCGTGAGGAACGATCGGCTACCGGAGACCTCAGCGTACAACAGAAGCAGCAACGCGTTTATACTTTTTCGAGATGCTGATGACCTCAGCGAGGCCATCAATCTTATTGACCTTTGTGCCCCGAGATGCAACCACGTGATCATCCTGACCACCGTCTACGAGGAGGACAAGGACTTCTTAAATGACGTCTATAGACTGGTCCAGTTCATGTGGCAGCAGATGACCGTGAAGCTCGTAATCGTAGGCCTGGTGGGCGAACGAGCCTTGGTAGCAGGAAGTCTTGGTTTCGAGAGGGGCAAGATGCCAGAACCTTCTGGACCTGTTATACTGGCAGAATGCTGGGAGGGTGTTCTTAAAAGACGGGAAGAGATCTTCGGGAACTATGAGACTCGAGGGATGAAGATAGGGGTCGGTTTCTTTGAACGGGAGCCATTCGTCTATGCTGCCAAAGACAATGGGACCGAAGAGATAAGACGGATAGAGGGAATAGAAGGTCAGCTGGTAGAGAGCATAGCCTCCAACATGGGCATCACTCTGGTCAGGACGGAGTTTACGCTGGAGAACGGGACTGACGTCTTCGAGAAGATCGTCGAGATCAATAAGAATAATTCTTCTTATCACGTACTGATGAGTGGGCTCCACTGGAAGATTGATAAGCACATAGAGTACAGCGTCTTCTACGACGTGTCCGAGGTCGTCTGGACGGTACCGGAGAGGACGCATTTTTCTCTTCTAGCCTTCGTGACGCCGTTCGCTGACACCGTCTGGATCGCCTTCGGAGGCCTCTTTGTCTTCACTGTCATCCTGAGGTGTCTGCTCCTGAGGAAGCTGTCGTTCATCAGCGTCCTATCTCTGATACTTGGTGTGGCCCTACCTCGTCAGCCAGACGGGACTTCCGAAAGGATTCAGTTCCTGTCCTGGACGATCTTCGGGTATATCACCAGTCAGATGTACCTGGCCTCGATGGCTAGTCAGCTGATGAAGAGCAGCCACCAGGAAATTGGAGACATGGAGGAACTCTTGTCACGGATGAGTGACTTGAAGCTGGGTGGTATGACCGTGCACCGTGATTTATTTCAAAACGAAAAAGACGATTCGGTGAGTCGTACGATTGACGAACATTTTTTTACCTTTGACACGGTTGAATACTTTCAGTTGGTCGACGATCTGATTTCCGGTAAGAACAACAGCATAGCTCTGGTCACTGAGCTATCTGCTGCCAGCTTGGCAGCTGGCATTTCCTACGGTCACATTGTCAGGGAGAGAATAGCTCATTACGCGCTCTGCTTGGCAGTCCTGAAGGGAGTCCCTTACATGGATAAATTTAATTCAAAGATCACTCATCTGGTGGAGGGTGGGTTTATCAAGTATTGGTGGAGGTCAATAGGTCAGGACCGAGTTCGTCGCTACGACGAGGATGAGACTTTGTTCAATTTAGGTATAAAGGAACTCAGTCCTTGCTTTTTACTCTTGTTCATGGGACACTCCTTGGGGCTGCTGGTCCTGATACTAGAGATCATTCTTATCAATGCTTAAGGTCTTATCAACGGTGAATTATAAATTGTCTTAATAAAAAAAAAAAAATTAAAAAAAAAACGAGGCTCGGTCCATTTTTTTTTTCTTCCATCTCAAAGTCAACCATTATCCTAGGGTCTAACCGACACCCAGCATCTTCCGACAGATCCACGGGATCTCAGCAGCCGGTCCATGGCGCTAATACACTACCGTACAGGATGCTGCGAATTTCCCCGTGGCTTTTGAACCGAATGGGAATGACAATGATAACGATAATGGCCAAGTCAACGGGATAACGGATCTGCCGAAAAAGTATCGAGAGGGAAAGAGGAGGCTGCGAAAAGGCAAAAGGAAAGAGACGAAAGAGTAAAAAAGGACGATTTGAGACTGCAAGAGAGATCCCTCCCGTCATAAAACGAAATTACATCTGAGATGGTTAAAATACCCCAGTCAAGGATTAGCGGGGCTGCCTTTATGGCATATTGGATAGTATCGGGAGCCTTACTACCTTGGACCTGGACAAAACACAATAGCCGTATCCCCTACTGGCCAATCAGGACTTCGGAATATATCAGACGCCTTGATATTCCCATCGTGCGATATTTCGTCATAGATATACAGAGACAAAGGTTCCACTGATCTTCCGGTCTCCTTCTAATAATCGTACAAGCACCTGCCGTCTCTCTCGTAGCTTCGTAACGACCTCGCAACTTTGCTTCAACTCCAAGCGTCATCCTGATCCTCGATCCAATTATCGACAGCGCTGCAAGGCGGAAGGCCGAACGATATCAAGACTGAATTCCTTGTTTATGTCCCAGGTCGGCAGAGCCAATCCACGAAGTGTGTCCACGTATAAGATCGTCAGGATCCTGGGCCTCGTTTCCGTCGTCGCTGAGGTCCTCCCTTCCTCGGTACGTAAAACTAACCCCCGACGGCACGTATCCGATAGAGTCCTCGTAAAAAGTAAGAGCCTTCTGTAGATTCTCATGGCTGTCAATTAGGCAGGATACGAATCGGCTACCGAATGTCCCAGGGCTGCCTTTAAATAGGTACCTCCTTCCGGATAATCTGGTACCTTGCCACGTCACCGACCCTAATCCTTGAATTAGCTCTTTACCGAGATAGTACCGCCTGGCGGTTCCATCCTCTAAGGTCCTGGACCTATACTGAACTTCCATACTCGACTTGGTGTCTCCGTGGGTCATGCCGAAACGATCCTCATTGACCTCCAATCAATGAGTCAGAGAGTTCAGAGGTCAGGGGTCAGGGCGTTAGTACAGTGGTACCAACTGTTGGACCATGTCGGACCAAGGATGACCATCCATGCTGGAATACCCCAGAACCAAGGACTGATGTGACGCGATAACCCAGCAGCGTCCTGGTATCCAGCTGAAGTGAGCAGGCACTTTCGTTTTGCCACTTTCATCTCATTTCTCCGGTTCCCCCCCACTTCCTATCACCTACCCCCTTATCAACTACCCCTTACGTTTGCTTCATTGCCGCGCAGCGGTAGGTGCGACGACAGCCACCATCAAGATCACGTGTGGCCAACCCCATTGAACTCAGCAAATCTCACAGCTTTATATTCCGTGAAGGTACCTTCCATCCCATAGAGATTCAAATGAATCGCCCCTTCGGCATTCGCCCCTATGATCGTCCCCTATTTTCCGGATATCCGGTCAACACGGATGCTGCACTCCTCAGACGTCACTAAACTGATCGTTTTATCCCTTACGTAAGTCTGATTATGTTTTTGCGCGTTGTATAGTAAAGTTGATTTTTTTTTTTCAAAATAAAAATAAATATCAAAATATTTTATTCCCAGCGAACGACGTTATACCGTATCGATTCGAAAGATGCGCGCAGCTGCTTTCTGCATCCTAAGACACGGGGAATATGCTGATTGTAATACAAGTGGGGGCCCATGCATCCTTCAGTAAGACTATATTTCATATGACTTTGCCAATATGGAATTTTATGTTTTATTCGCCCACCTTTGGGCCGTTGGCTCAGTGGAATATTTAGAAAATATTTTTCAAACCGGTAAACCTTTTCTTATTTTCCATCTTTGAGAACTGATATTTATGTTTCAAGTTGGTCCGGACGTCTGACAGTGATGCATCGCACTGGGTAATAACATTGTGAAAGTAAACTTTTGGGGCCACTTTTTTCCTATTATGCTCTACGATGTGTTCGTTTGACTGAAAAAAATTAAAAAAAATGGCCAATTCCAAAAAATATTTTATACGAAACAAATCTATTTGAAAGACGTCTCTGATAGGTCGAACCCATTTTCTTTGTACTTCAGGACATAAAGGGATAATCCTGGCAGGATCCATTGAGCGGTCCGTCCTTTGTTTTCCGTCCTAAGATCTTTCCAGGAACTTTTAAAGCTTCTTGTAATCCTATCCAGAACTTTGATCATTTACGACTGCCGTCTCGATTAAGGATCTAAAAGTTGGTCTGCTTGGACCGGATGTGTCCTTGTCGTTGTTAAAGGATGCGAGGAAGTCTTAACGACAGTATCAACGAGCAGGGTCACTAGGGTGCTAATATCGATACGAGAGAGATGGCCCAAAAAAGTTTGACGTTAAGTAAAAATAAGGGTATAAAATATATTTTTGAAAAAAATATGAAGAATCCTTAATCCTGGATCCAGTAACGTATCCCGAGAAATGACTCCCTCAAGAATTTCAAGGGCGTCCGTTCACGAGGTCGAACAGACTCGTTTCACCCTCAGGATGGCCCCTCGTCCCATAACCTCATTTTCAACCAAGGCGTCGAGGGATGTCAAAGATCGCCAAATCTCCAGAGCTACAGGGGATGCTGGGGAGGGTAGCTCGGATCCGGGCAAAGAAGAGCTTTTTCATCATCCGCACTTTTATCGCCACTTTCAAATAAACGAGAAGTTGCTGTAGGTGCTGCGCCGAGCAAGCTCAGCCTCCTCTCCTTGAATTCCCGTTTCGGGTTGGGAAGCGTCCTTTCGCGCCCATCGCGACCCCACCTAGCTTCTGGCACCATTCCAGTCTGGCCGTTAAAATAAATGCGTCAGAGGGAAGCTCCGTACAAAGCGTCGGCAGTCATAATTCAATTTTAATAAAGTCAACAGACAACACTCGACTCCCGCATTTCTCCCTGCCGAAATGCTCCCCTATCATCTTCCATCTTACTTCCGCTCCCTTGGTGGAATCCATCCATCTACCTTACAGCCGTCCGACCTAGCTCTCCACTTCTTAAGAAATTGCACCCTTGCCCCTTTGCCGTCCCTGGAGCACCAACCCAAAATTACAAGATCAGGTCACCCGCTAATGATGATGATGATGATGAACATGCGGATGGAACGAAAAACACCAACGAACCGGATGAAGGAAGATAGATCCAGGTTTCGTCGTTCTCTGCTTCAGGAGTTATGGGATTCGGTATACCGGAAGTTGGATCTGATGGTCGTTCAGTGTCAGAAGAAGAAACACGTGGTCAGGACATGCCCCGAATATCAGGAATATCCCGAATATCAAACAATGATTTCGGTCATTTAGCGAAAAAACGGGATAGAAAGATAAAAATAAACTTCAAGGTAAGGTGTCTGGCCGGAAGTGATCAGCGATAACGGAAGTTCCTTGTTACCCAGGAATCCGCCAAAGTCTACTTCCTGACGCACCCCCGTACCATACCAGTTGAACGCATTCCGCCAGCATTCCCATCGTCGATATCCGGTGCTTCCGAAAACTTTGTTTTGCTTTCTAGGCTAGTGGGTACTCCTGCCACGTCTCCTCGCTTCCGTGGCGCAAGAAGAGGAATCCCTGGACTCGAGTTCGAAGAGTGCTCCCGAGGCTGCCCGGAGTGCACTTGGAGATCTGGGCGAGTCCCGATGCATTATACATAATACATAAGCCTGGATAGGGATATTCGATAGCGTAAAGGTTTTCTATGCTGCAGAGAAGACTCTCTTGCATTTTCATTATGGGACGAAATTGAAGCCGAGAAAATAGGAGCGGCGTGAACGTAGCCTCCGGGAGCACTTAGGCAAAATTCGATATGTATTTTTAGTATATCTCTTCGCTCTCTCCCTCTCTCGTATAAAACGATACAGAAACATTCGTCAGTGGTCTTTTGAAATTGAATATCAGCAACTCGGACCGAAAATCGACCTGGCAATATCCCGATAACGATGCAGCTGGTACGTAGGTAAATGCACTGAGGTAGGTATTGCTGATGACTCAATTTTATAATGACGATCCGATTCATCGATTTTTGATGAGACGTTATTTTTCCTTCCCAATAAATCTGATAAACCGGTAACCGATTCGATTGGGTTGTGAATCGATGTCAATTGCCTAGAAGGAGAGGAACTGGAGATTCTATCGCGAAAATATTCGTTCACTTTGTCATTAATAATTTTCGGGGATTTCCCGTCTCTCGTTCTCCGTCGGCGCTCTCCCGATAGGGGAACCCCCGTGAAAACACAATTAAAATCCCAAGTTTTTCAATTACCACCGATTACTTAACCCACGAGGAATTTTAACACTGCCATTTATCCCGTCTCTCCCTTTTTACTTCCGGATAAATTTTTCAGTTTTATTTTTGTTACTGTCCCAGCATCGATCGGGGCAGTCTGACTCCTGAAATGATGCCTGAGATCAGTAAACGAGTGTCGTGGGTACGAGGGCGGGAAATTCAAATTCACCCAAGGACACGCGAAGCAGCATGATGATTTAACTATGGATGGAAAATTTGAATTTTTATTTCACATCAATTAGAAGATGACTTAGTGTAAAATGGCTTTTAATCGGGTAAGAAGAGTTTAGAGTCACCTGACTTCAGCTGGTTGTCGCTAGATGGAAAAATGTAGGTACGAATTCTTATTAAAAAAATTCTTTGCTTTACGAGAGACATTTTGCATGGGAAAATTCAAGCGAGTCCCCGGACAAGGATAACGTTAACTGAACGCGGCAGGGACCGTTTATTAAAAGGGATAAAGGACCGAGATAGCCTGGCCACTCGTTTGGGCTTTTTAAATAGCGTCCTGGAG